GAACTGGAGTTATGGACAGTTGTTAGCTGCCATGTGGGTGCTGGGATTTGAACTCAGGTCTTCTGCAAGAACAACCGGTGTTCTTAACCACCAAGCCATTGCTCCAGCCCCTTTTTGGTTTTCTTTTGAGACAAGGTCTTCCTGTAGCCACAGCTGGCCTGGAACTCTTATGTAAACCAGGCTGGCCTAGAACTCAAAGAGATCCACCTGCCTCTGCCTCCCACTTGCTGGGATTAAAGGCATGTGCCACTACGCCTGGCATCCAAAGTATTCTTAATGTGGGAATAGTGTGTTTGGAATTGAGAAGAAAGAATCTGAATATTTGAGGTTAATCTTTAAAGATAGGGGTGTTATCAAGTTAAAGTCTTGATAATCAACATTTATTGGGAAGTGATAGCTTCTGTAATATACAAATAAAGTGATGGAGTTAGGCTAAGGGTAAATGAAGGAATAAGGTGAGGTTCTTTGAGGGGTGACACTTTAAAGATGTAATGTGATACTAAAATAACACTTGAGTTTGCCCATTTGGGGATAGCATAAGTGGAAGATAAAGTTGCAAGGGACCCCAGGAGTTACTGATATGAATATTTTTTCAAAGTGAATACAGCCATTGGGATTTTTTGTGTTTTAGTTGTTTACTTGTGAACATGATTTCTGAGTCTGTTTCATGATTTATTTGGTGTTAAATTGAAGGCTTCTGGGAGTTTTATGTGTGTGCATGTCTTGCAAAAGGACAGAGTCAGGGGAAGAGTAGAGGAGGGTCTGTGTAGGTAACTAGACTATGTAGTGAATTATGTAGCTGTGATACATGTTTAAGTTGGTGTGCAGTGCATATTTCTGCCCATATTAGTATGGACTGAGAGTTACCGTCTATAGGAGAATGGGAAGTCAGAGTTACATACCACCTTAGATAAGAGAAAGTACTACCTTGGATGAGAGAATTCAGACTTAATATTTGGGGGTGAGACTTAGATTTAAGTAATCAAAGATTAGTATAGGTTGATTCTGGCATGGACTATAGCTTTTCTGATTCTTCTTGAAAATTGTTTCCCTGAAACAGGGTTTCACTATGTTGCAAATGTTAGTCTCAAACTCCTGGTCTCAAGGCTCCTCCTGCCTTGATGGATGCCATCTAGGATGCCAGCTAGTACACCCAGCACGCTTCTAATTTTTTTTTTGGCCACCACGCCTGGCTCTTCTAATTTTTTTTTTTCACAGTGATCCATCCACCTGTCTCTGGGATTAAAGGCATACGTGCATTACCACACCTGCTGTTGCTGCTTTTTATTTCTTGAGGCAGGGTCTTACTATGTAGTTCTGGCTGGCCTGGAACTTGCTATGTAGAGTAAATAGTCCAGTCTGGAACCTGTAGAGATTCCCCTGCCTCTGCTTCCTCCTGAGTGCTGAGTCAGTGCTAAAGGTGTGTACCACCAGGCCCAACCAGAGCCTCTTATTATTTATTTATTTATTTAATTACTTTTTAATGTTTATGGGTATGTATGTCTGTGTGTGTATGTATACATGTGTACATGTGCCTGTGGAGGCCTGAAGAGGGGGAGCTGGAGTTATAAATGGTTGCTAGCTGCCGTGTGGGTGCTGGGAACCAAACCTGGGTCCTACGCAAGAGTAGCCAGTGCTCTACTGCTGAGCCATCTTGCCAGCCGTTTTAAAATTTTTTTTTGTTTAGTTTTTAAAAGTATTTTATTTTTTATTTTATATGTATGAGTGTATTGCCTGCATGTGTGTAAGTGCACTCTTATTGTACAGTGCCCACGGAGGCCAGAAGAGGGCGTCGGATCCCCCTGGAACTGGAATTAGGGACAGTTGTTAGCCACCATGTGGGTGCTGGGAATTGAGCCCTGGTCCTCTGCCAGAGCAGAAAGTGCTATTAACTGCTGAGCCATCTCTCCAGCCCCATATTGAGTTTTTAAGGGATTTGTTCTACTTACAAATAAAACATCTAGTTAAAGATGTTGTCTTGGCCAGGCATGGTAGCACATGCCTTTAGTCCCCAGCACACTGGAGGCAGAGGCAGGTGTATCTCTGTGAGTTCAAGGCCAGTCTGGTCTACATAGTTCCAGGTCAGCTGGGACTACAGGGAGACCCTGCTTCAAAAAGATCAAAAAAAGAGGGCTGGAGAGATGGCTCAACAGTTAAGAACACTCACTGTTCTTGCAGAAGACCCAGCTTTGCATCCCAGCACCCAACATGGCAGCTAACAACCATCTGTAACTCCAGTTCCAGGGGATCTGACAGCCTCTTCTGTCCTCCGTGGGCATTGCACAACACAGGTGCACTTATCTACATGAAGGCAATACATGCATACACATAAAAATAATAAAATATTTTAAAAAATGTTGTCTTAGGTCATGTGATTTCTGCTCAATAACAGGAATTTATTATTTCTTTTTGTGGTGCTGGAGCACAAACCCAGGGTCTCATAAGTACTCTGCCCCCTCAGCAACATTCCCAGCCCAGTGTGACTTTTATTCATGAGACTCAATAAATATAAGTCTTTTCTTAGACACTTTCCTTGGGTGCTTTAATTCTTGTTGGGCTTGTTTACAGTAAGCACTGTCTTCCACCTGAAAGGGGGAAGAAAGATTGTCACAGATCTAGGACATTTTAGTTTTAGTTTTGTTTTTTGTTTTTTGAGACAGGGTCTCTCTGTGGCACCAAACGGCCTGGAACTCCCTATGTAGACCAGGCTGGCCTCAATATCATAGATATCTACCTGCATCTGCCTCCCAGGTGCTGGGATTAAAGTCATGTGCCACCATATCCAGCAGTTTTAGGTGTTTTAAAGAGATTTCTATTTGTTTGTTTGTTTGTTTATTTATTTATTTAATGTATAGGAGTGTTTTACCTGCATTCAAGTGCACTGTGTGTGCCAATGCCCAAGGAGGCCATAAGAGGGCACTGGATCCTCTAGAATTGGAGTTACAGACATTGTAAGCTATCATGTGGATACTGGGAGCCAGACCCCAGTCCCCTGAGAGAACAGTGAGTGCTCTTAACTGCTGAGCCATCTCTACAGCCCTAAGAGGAGAGATTTTAAATTTTAATTGTATGTGTATGTGTGTGTTGGTGTGGTTATGTGCACATGTGTACAGTGCCGATGGTGTCCAGAAGGTGTTGGGTCCCTGAGAGCTGGAGTTGTAGATGGTTATGAGCTTCCTGCCTTGGGTGCTGGGAATTGAACTTGGGTCTGCTGCATGAACAGTACAAGCTCTTAACTGTTGAGCGAGGTCTTTAGCCGATTATAGTTCTTTTTCATGGATTTTAAAAAATTTTTATTTTGTTTTGAGACAGGGTCTCTCAGTAGCCCCAACTGGCCTAGAACTCACTATGACCAGGCTGGTCTGGATTTCAAAGTCTGCCTCTACTTCCCAAGTGCTGGGATTAATGGTGTAGACCACTACACCCAGCTATTTTTATTTTATGTGTATGAGTGCAGTTTTGCCTACCTTATATAAGTGCACCCATGTCCTGCAATGAGTGGCCATGAAGATAGCGTATCAGATCCCCTGGAACTGGAGTTACAGACAGTTGTTAGTCACCACATGGGTGCTAGGAATTGAACCCAGGTCCTCTGTAAGAGCAGCTAGTGCTCTTAACCAGTGAGTCATCTCTGCAGCTGTTCAATTTTGGTTCTTTTTTTTTTTTTTTTTTAAATCTTTTTGAGACAAGGTCTCCCTGTAGCCCCAGCTGTCCTGGAACTTACTATGTAGACCAGGCTGGCCTTGAACTCAGAGATCTGCCTGCCTCTGCCTCCCAAGTGCTGGGACTACAGGCTTGTACCACCACACCCGGCTTCGATTTTAGTTCTTAATTAAAAGGAAATGTTTATTATTAATTGTTTCTTAGAACTCAGGTTGAACATTGAAACTGTTGCAAAGTTTTTAAGACTTGAAGGGGATTAAAAAAAAAAAACAAAACAAATTTGTTTGTTTTTTGAAACAGTCTCATGTAGCCTAGGCTGACCTCTGACTTGCTAGGTGTGTAGTTTAGGATGACCTTGATCTCTTGGTCTTCCTGACTGCCTCCTGGGTGGGAGTGTGCTCTGCCACACTTTTTTTTTTTAAAGCTGACTTTTATTTGTCTTATTGAGACAGGGTCTTCCTGTAGGCCCAGCTGACCTGGAACCCACGATGTAGACCAGGCTGGCCTGGATCTCACAGAGATATGCCTACCTCTACCTCCAGAGTGCTGGGATTAAAGGCATGTACCACCAGCCTGGCATTAGCTGACATGTTTTCATTTAATCAGATGTTTTACTCAGAAGTTACTAATTAACATCTAGTTGTCAGAGAGAATGAGCATTCTATTTTCTTTTCTGATAAGTTCCCATTGTGGAGGTATTTGAAGGACCACCGTGTAGCCAGAGGGCTTGGTTCTGTGCCAGCACTACAGTGTTGGTGACTCTGCATGTGGTCTGCTTGGTAAAACATCCCAGGACATACTCTGTTATTTTATTCCAAGAACCATTCAGCTCATGCAAGGGCTTTGTTGACAGGATTACTCTATATGGAAGATGAACTAATGGAAGATTAAATCTTGGGAAGGAGAATAAGTAACCTAGGAATTGTCCTGTCTTACTAATGATATTGCACTTTTGTTTGTTTTTAGGTTTTTGACAACTATGCAGTTACAGTTATGATTGGTGGAGAACCATATACTCTTGGACTTTTTGATACTGCAGGTGAAAACTTAATGTCTCTTACAATGTTTTGATCTGTAACTGTAACAGTTGCGGGTGGGTGTCTTTTTTGGACACTGGGAAATTATATTAGATCACTTACCTTTGGTTAATAGCAGGATTGAATTTAATGATGTTGACATGGGACTGCTAAGAGGAGTTTGGAGTACCTTGGGTGGATGGTGTGGTAGGAGGTACAGAGGAGCCAAGAAGAATACATCAGACAAGCTCTCATGGACAGTGGTTGGAGTTTGCAGAAAATTGGGAATTCTTTTGGAGGCTGGACAGAGACCAAGGGAATGAGTTCAGAGAAAAGTGTCTGCTGATTATTTCCTTGCAGTCCCCCTTTTTAAAAGTCTCAGAATTGGGGACTGGGAATGTAGTTTAGTGGATAGAGTGCTTGCTTAACATGTATGGAGCCCTGGGTTCAATCATCAGCACCAGCACATAACTGGATTTGTCTATACTCCCATCAGTCTCAGATAGAGGCCAGAGGATCAGAGGTTTAAGGCAAGGGTGAACTAAAAAAATGAAATGAAGTGAAAGAAAATAATCTCAGATTTTCTAAATATGACCAAGGTTGTAAGCTTGATATTTATCATAATGGCTTTAATGGTTATTTCATTTGAAGATATATGTGGTATTTTGTTTCTATAATACATATTTAGGTGATCTTAACAGATAGCTTGTTAATTTATACTACACATAAATATTTTGAGAATTTAAAAGTGTTGATACTTGTCAGTTAATCCACATTACAAAAGTAAGTTACCAAATTATATGTACCCAATCCCTCTGCTATTTCTACTTGGTTTTAGCAGTGGGTGCACATCTTCATTTCTGATTGTTCTCTCTATAGTCTCTTAGCAGTTCAGTTAGCCAAAAAAGTATCTCAAAAATATTTTTAAATGTCTTTTTAAATGTAGGAATTCTAAACTTCTAATGATTCACTCTGTCCTTGCCAGTTAACAGACTGCTCCCATGGAGCATACAATTCTGCGCCATTGAGGACCTGTGGATTTGATTGGAAGGGTGAAATAGATACCTCATTGTTCAGAGAAAATTGTAATGAATTCAAAATTATGAGAGTAATGGTGTATTAGAGAAAACGGAGAAAACAGTGGAAGTAACACAGTGGGTGGCTTGCAATCTGGCGTAGGATGGAGCTTTTCCTGTGTGTTTTCAAAAAAAAAATTAATTTTTATTTTGTGTGTGTATTTTGCCTGTATGCATGCATGTAAGTACATCCATGCGTACATGCCCATGGAGCCGAGCCTAAAGAGGGCATTGGATCTCCTGGATCTGGTGTTAGGATGGTTGTTAGATGCCATGTAGGTGCTGGGAACTGAACTCAGGACCTCTGCAAAAGGCTGCTATGAGGCTATGAACCACTTTCATGTTTTAGCGTTATTATTTATTATTATTATTGTTATTATTTTGGTCCTTTTTTGTGGGGGGAGGCTTTTTGAGACAGGGTCTCCCTTTAGCCCTAGCTGTCCTGGAACTCACTATGTAGACCAGGCTGGCCTTGAACACCCAGAGATCCGCCTGCCTCTGCCTCCCGAGTGCTGGGGGATTAAAGGTGTGCACCATCACGCCTGGCCCTTTTTTTGGTCTTTTTGAGACAGGGTCTCCCTGTAGCTCCACCTGTCCTGTAGACTAGGCTGGCCTTGATTTTACAGAGATCCTTCTGCCTCAGAGGCCTCCCAAGTGCTGTGATTAAAGGCATGCCTACCACTCCCAGCCCCATACTTTGGTGTTTTATGCACCTTCCAAATCATTGCTACGTCTGATGTTCTGAAGTTTTTGCCATGTGTTTTTCTGAGTTTTCAGGTTTTTTGGGGGGGTGTCTTTTTGAGATGGGGGGTCTCCCTGTAGCCTGGTACTCCCTATGTATATGTAGAGCAGGCTGGCCTTGAACTCACAGTCATCCGCTTGCTTCCTGAGTGCTGGGATTAAAGGTGTATACTACCATGTATGGCCAGTTTTAGATCTTAAATTTAGGAATTAAAAAATATATATTTTTAAATTTTATATATATGAATGTTTTGCCTTCATGTATGTAAGTGTACCTGTGTTGTGCAATGCCTGAGGATGCCAGAAGAGGGTGTTAGATCCCCTGGAACTGGAGTTAAGGACAGTTGTTAGCTGTCATTTGGGTGCTGGGAATTGAACCCAGATCCTCTGCAAGAGCAGCCAGTGCTCTTAACTGCTGAGCCATCTCTAGCCCCACATTTAGGCCTTTGATCCATTTTGAATTATTTTATGTGATATTAAGGACCCAACTGTATCCTTTTAGATGTGGGTATCCAACTTTTTATTTACTGTTGGATGGTCTTGACATCCTTGTCAAAATTATTTGATCACACACACATTCTCATATACATACTCAACACACACACACACACGATTTATTTCTAGATTTCCTTTGATCTGTTTGTCTTTATGTCAGTATCACATTATTTTGTTTACTTTTATTTAATACGTTTTGAAATCAAGAAATATGGCTCACCAGCTTTTTTCTTTTCAGGATTGTTTTGGGTTGAAATTCTACCCCCCCCCCTTTTTTTTGTGTGTGTTTCTTTGTTTTTTTGGTGTTTCTGAGACAGGATCTCCCTGTAGCCCCAGCTGGCCTGGATTCACTGTGGAGACCAGGCTGGCCTGGAACTCACAGAGATCCACCTGCCTCTGCCTCCCAAGTGCTGGGACTAAAGGCATGCGCCACCACACCCTGCCCCACCCCTCTTTTTAACCCAAGAATTCTTTAGGATTTTGATAGGCATTGTATTGTATGTGTAGGTTGTTTTGGGTAGTATTGACATCCTAGTATTTTTTTTTTTTTTGTTTTGACATCTTAAGTCTTTCAGTTCATGAACACCAGATGTGTTTCCATTTAGTTAGGGCTTCCTTGCTTTTAGCATTGTATTATTTTTTTTAATTTAAAAATATTTTTAAAATTATTTTTATTGTATGCGTGTATTAGGTAAGTGTACCCGTGTCATGCAATGCCTGAGGAGGTCAGAAGAGACTGTCAGATCCCCTGGAACTGGAGTTATGGACAGTTGTTAGCTGTCATGTGGGTACTGGGATTCCAACCTGGATCTTCTGCAAGAACAACCAGTGTTCTTAACCGCTGGGCCATCTCTGTAGCCCCAATGTTTGTCATTTTCATTGTATGAGTGTTTCACGTCTTTGGTTAATTCCTAAGTGTTTTATTCTTTTTGATTATCTATTGATTCTTGGCAAATTCATTTTCCCTAGGCCTTTCTAGTTTCAAACTAGGCTTACATGCACAGATTGAATAAAAGTTGAACTTACTTTAGCAGTCATTAATGGTCATGGATTTTGTTAGAGTTTTTGTGAGATTTTAATTTTTGTTAGGTGATTTTTTTCACTGATTGTTATATAGCATGTTTTTTTTTAAACCACATCTGTAGCAATAACTCATTGTCATTACATTATTATTGAGTTACTAATAGAGATAGTTTAAAGACTATAAACTAGAAATAAAAACAAGTAATTCCAAAGTCTTTGCTATTCTGAGTTATTGACATAGAAACAGCTGAGTGTGCTCTCCAGATAACACTTTGCACAGCCCTGTATTTGGTTAAATAAATTGTTTTGCTGCTAATGACTAGTATGCTGTTATGCTGAATGATTAAAATGCTGACAGCTGTGATTTATTTATCTTAACTGTTTTTTGTTTTTTTTTATTATTTTTATTTTATGTATATGAGTGTATTGCCTGCATGTGTGTAAGTGCACCTGTGTCATGCAGTGCCTGCAGAGGTCAGAAGATGTCATTGGATCTTCTGGAAATGGAGTTATAGACAGCTGTTGGCTGCCATGTGGGTCATGTGGGTGCTGGGAATCGAACCTGGGTCTTCTGCAAGAATAGCCAGGGCTGAGCCATCTCTCCAGCCCTTTACTGTTTTATTTAAAAAAATTTTATTTATGTGTATGTATAATTGTTTTGTCTGCATGTGGGTAAGTGCATCATGTGCATGCAATTCCCACAGAGACTAGAAGACGGCATTGGATCTTCTGGAAATGGAGTTACAGACAGCTGTTAGCTGCCATGTAGTTCTTGGGAACTGAATCTTAACCCCTGAGCCACCCCTTTATTCTTTTGAGATTAGAATCTTGCTATATAGTTCTCGCTGGCCTAGAACTTGCTTTGTAGACCGTGCTGATCTTAAATGTGTTATCTCCTACCTCTGCCTCCTGATTGTTGAGGTTATAGGCATTGGCCACCATACCCATATCTTTTTTCCTTTTTAATTACATTTATGTGTGTGTTGTGTGCACACGTGTGCCACAGTATGCATGTGGAGGTGGAGATCAGAGGACAACTTCTGGGAATTGGTTCTCTCCTTCTGCTATTTGGGTCTTGGAGATGAAACTCAGGTTGTTGGACTTGGCGACAGGCATCTTCACCCACTCATCCATTTTATCAGTCCCATCGTGTCCATCTTTGATCAGCATTTCTTTGAGACAGAGTGTCAATGTAGCCCAGACTAGCCTGAACATCAAAATCTTTCTTCCTCTGCCTCCTGAATGTTGGGATTATAGAGTTGTGCTACCATGCCTGGTTTTATTTGCTGTGGGTATTGAACCTGGGGCTCTGTATGTGCATGCTAGGTAATCCCCCTTCCAGCTGAGCTATAGCATCCGTCCCTTGACCTGTGATTTTCATTTATTTATTTAGACCTGTGATACCATGAAGATTCTAAATTTCAGTTGCTGATCTCTCTTATTTTTTCTTTAGGGCAAGAGGATTATGACCGACTACGACCGCTGAGTTATCCACAAACAGATGTATTTCTAGTGTGTTTTTCAGTGGTCTCTCCATCCTCATTTGAAAATGTGAAAGAAAAGGTAAGTTAGTCATACTCTTCCCTTGAAAAGTATACAAATTCTGTTGCCCTGTTGTAAATAATTTTAGAGGCTTGTGGATAAACAAAGGCATACTTATCATACTTTTTCTCTAGTGGGTGCCTGAGATAACTCACCACTGTCCAAAGACTCCTTTCTTGCTTGTTGGGACCCAAATTGATCTCAGAGATGATCCCTCTACTATTGAGAAACTTGCCAAGAACAAACAGAAGCCTATCACTCCAGAGACTGCTGAAAAGCTGGCCCGTGATCTGAAGGCTGTCAAGTATGTGGAGTGTTCTGCCCTCACACAGGTAAGGGCTCTATGGAACCTATGTTTTTGTATGATTCAATAGTTCCTGAAGAATTGGGATGCAGAGGCTCTTTCTTTTCCTCTTATTTTTCCCTTTAAAAACATTAAAAAAATATTTTTTTTATGTATGTGTATTATGTCTATGTGAGTGTGTGTGTCTATGAGAATGTATGCCATGTGATTTAGGTACCTGAGGAGGCCCCTGAGCTGCAGTTCAAGTGATTGTGAGCTGCCTGACATGGGTGCTGGGAACCAAACTCTGGTCTAGGAAGAACAGGAAGGGCTCTTAACCTGATCCATCTCCAGGCACCCTGTAGCACTTTTCTTTCCCTTTTCTTTTTCTTTTATTTTGGAGATGTATTGGCTTAGTACTTGTTATGTAACCCAGGCTAGTCTTGAGCTTGTTGCATGCAGTCTTCCTGCCTCAGCTTCTTGAGTTCTGGGATTGCAGGAGTGCAGTACCACACCTACTTTACAGAGGTTGTTTGTAGCAGGGGTCAGCGGCACTCAAAGCTGCGCAGGAAGAATATGCCTGGTTTCAGTCTGTATTGTGAGAGGCCTGTGTTTATGGAGAGCATTGTGAGTCTCTAAAGGCCTTGTATTGGTTAGCCTCTGTATTGTAGCTTTACTGATTGTTTTGAAGTGGTCAAGATGATGCTAAAAAAACCTTCCAAGTGAGATCCAGATAAGTGTAGACTTAAAAGCAATTTCCTTTTCTTTGACACGTAAGCGAGCGAGAGAGAGATTTTTCCTTGCCAGTTCTGACAAATGCCACACTGTTTCTGAGGTAATTCATTCAAGAGGGGCAGAGAACTAGTCATAATATGTGAGATTTTCTAGCCAAGAATGCTACTGTATTGGCTTTTTTTGTCATAGTCTCATAACTTTGTATTTGATCTCTCTTACTATGTTTTTGAAGTTGTTCCTTTCTCACATGGACTGTTCTTTCTTTCTGGCCATTTCTGAGTGATGGTATTGGAACTCCTTGTAGATTGATGGGAAACTCAGACTCTCAGGGCAGGAACAGTGGGAGCTGTAACAAGCTTATATGATTTGGTCTGCAGCGTCATAGCATTGTGTTTTAGTTTCTTTTCCTTTGCTGTGATAAAATGCCCTGACAAAAGCAACTTCTAATAGCAAAGGTTTATTCTAGCTCACAGTTGAAGGTACAGTCATGGCAGGGAAGCCAAGGCAGCAAAAACTTAAAGCAATTGGTCACACGTATCCACAGTCAAGAAATAGAGAACAAATGAATGCAGGCTTTATGCTTTTTGTACAGTCTTAAGATCTCTACCCACAATTAAGTCTTCCCAAATCAGTTAATGTAATTAAGATAATCCCCACATGATTCCCAGAGGCCATCTCCCAGATGATTCTAGATTTTGTCAAGTTGACAGTTAACATGAACTGTCATATACTGCCAGTTCTTTTTGTGTGGTTCTAGGAAAGAATTGTGAGAATAATTAGTACAGAACTTTGTGGTCTACTGGTGCTGATTCATTGAAGTTTGAACAATGAGCAGACATGCCAGGTTAAAGTAGAGGGTATGTGCTGGATAGCTTTAGTGTCAACTTGACACACCTGGGTTGAGGGAGCCTCAGTTGGGGAATTGCCTACATTGGACTGGCCTCTGGCCATGTCTGTGGGGCATTTTCTTGATGGTTGAGTGATGTGGGAGGGCCCAGCTCACTGTGGGTGGTGCCACCCCTGGGCAGATGGGCCTGTGTTGGATAGGAGAGCAAGCCAGTAAGCAGTGTTCCTCCATGGCCTGTGCTCCAGCTCCTGCCTCCAGGTTCCTACCTTGGGTTCCCTGATGACCTGTGACCGAGGAGATGTAAGATAAATAAACTCTTTCCTCCCCAAGTTGGTATAGGTCAGAGTGTTTTGTCACAGCAATAAAGAACAAACTAAGACAAGGTACTAATATATTAAATCCAATTGTAGCTCTCAGGCCTTTTCAGGTTATTGTGCATTTTGAAATTTATTTTTGTGTCTTTATTTATTTACTTATTTTTGTCTTTTTGAGACAGGGTCTCCCTATAGCCCCAACTGGCCTAGAATGCACTATGTCGACAAGGCTGGCCTTGAACTCAGAGATCCACCTGCCTCTGCCTCTCCAATGCTGGGACTAAAGGCATGTACCACCACACCCGGCGTGTCTTTGTTTTATTTTTTAATTGTTTTCATTTTTTTTGAGACAGGGTCTCCCTGTAGCTCCAGCTGTCCTGGAACTCACTATGTAGACCAGGTTGGCGTTGAACTCACAGAGATCTGCCTGCCTCTGCCTCCTGAGTGCTGGGATTAGAGGTGTGTGCCATCACGCCTGGCTGTTTGGTTGCATTTTTAAAGATAAAACTTTTATGCTTAGGACTGGAGAGATGGCTTAGTGGTTAAGTGGAGCCTGGTTCGGTTCCTAGCACCCACATGGCAGCTAACAGCTATCTGTAACTCCAGTTCCAGGGGATCTGATGCCTTCTTATGACCGCCATAGATATTGCATAACACAGGTGCACTTACTTACCTGCAGGCAAAACACTCATACACATAAAATAATTTTTAAAAAAAATTAAAAAACTTTTTATGCTTAATTAGATTTACACAGGATAACTTCTAGGCCTAATTCCCTAATTTTACATTCTAAAGCTCAGTTTCAGCAATAATCCTATTGCAGAAGCAAATCTTTGAAAATTTAGAAGAACTTGACATCTCTCACTTAGCACAGACTGAGACAATAAAGCTGGATGTTCTTGTCTCCAGTGCTCTCATACCATCTCTTGAAAAGTGTGGCAGGGTCTTTCTAGTGGGGGAGGCAGGAAGGTGTGTGTGTGTGTGGAACTGGGTGCACAGTGTATCCCATGTGGGTACTTTGGGTCTGCACAGTCTACTTGCCTGTTTCTTCAAAGCAGCCCATTTTAGGTCACTGGTGAAACTTGTCTTTTAGACAGCTGGATGCTTCATTAGAATTTTAGTGTGTACAGGTTTATCCTGTAAACCACTTAGAATTATAAGTGTAAAAGTTGTTATTATATAGGATGAACCTTTTCGGGGGGGGGTCTTTTTTGTGACACGGTCTCACTGTAGCCCCAGCTAGCGTGGAACTTTCTATGTAGACCAGACTGGCCTTGAAATCACAGAAATCTGCCTGCCTCTGTCTCTTGAGTGCTGGGATCAAAGGCGTGTGCCACCATATCTGGCTATAGGAGGAACTTTTATTTCCAGATTGTTAGAAGTCAGAGAAGTAGAAGATAGAAAGTTGGGTTTATGATTATGTATAAGAGCTCAAACTTGTCATATTTTGTTTGTAGGTTCTCCTAAAAGTAAACCCTATATAAGTAAAGCCAAGATTAGCTTTATTTCATAAGGCATTTATTTGTTGAACTTTGTAATAAATACACAAGAAAGGACCCCCCCCCTTTTTTTTTTAACTTGAGATAGGGTTTCACTCTAGCCCAGACTGGTCTCAAACTCAGATTTCTCCTACCTCTGCTTCGTAAATGCTATAGAATTAAGCCACCTTGCCTGACTAGGATTTCCGTCTTCACATGGGATGTACCCTATTTTCTAATGGTCCTCTTCCAGTTTTCCTTATAAAGTATATTTCCCTTGCTTTTTATATTTGCCTCTGAGAGTTAATCCTAGATGTGTAGACGGAATGCAGAGGACCTTAACTTTTTCTTTTTTGGTCTTTTTGAGACAGGGTCTCCCTGTAGCCCCAGCTGGCCTGGAACTCACTATGTAGACCAGGCTGGCCTTGAACTCACCTTGAACTCTGCCTCCTGAGTGCTGGGAATAACCATGCCTGGCTAGGACCTTAACTTCTGTATACTATTTCTACAGTGAAAATGATGGAAAAAGATGCCAGCCTTTCAATCTGTTTTCCTGACTTTACTACCCCATTTATTTTGTATCAGATGGACTGTGTGTCATTCCTGTGGGGTGGAGTACAAGGAAGGAATGCCTAGGGTAGTCTGGGGTGTCACACATCACTGGAACTATGTTCTGGGACTTGTGGGACATTTTTATTTGAGATCAAACAGACCCATTGAACATGTGAAAACTGTTGTGGGTGGTAAACTGGTGGCTTCAGGTATAGAGGTGAGTCTGTCAAGGCTCAAAGTATCTCTACTACTGAGTCACAGTATCCTTGGTGTCCTGGCACAGGTGTAAATGTATTTCTGCACCTTAGTCCCTGTGGATGTGAGAATATTCTTTGTTTTCATTTCATGCCATATGCTCTGATACCCATGTAGACATCTGAAAGCATTTGACTGCTTGCTAACTCTCATTCTAAAACTTCATTCTTTGTTTTCTTATGAATTGGGTGGTGGTTACTTGTTTCAGTAACATCACTGAATAACTGAAGTATATGCTGTTTCTAGAGTCCATTCTTAACCCCTTAAAATTGCTGCTCCCGTTGCATAGGAAACACTCCTTAATGTCTGAGCCTTTTTATTCTGGAAAACTGATTTACTTAATCCTGATTTATCTTGTCCAGATATGTCACTGAACCTAGAAACATGCAAGCATACCTATTAGTCCCCTGTTTGTGTTCTTCAGTTATTCATGGGCTGAATTCACAAAAGTCTGGAATTCTAACAGATTTATTTCCTAAATATGTATGTCATTATTATCAATAGTAATACTTACTGGGGGATTCTAGAAGACTGACTTATTCCAACACATCTATCTTGTGTTTATGTAGATTTTTTTTCCTCCCCTCTTTTCACTTTGTTTACACCAAAATGTAATAGTAGTTTTCAGTATGTGATACTTTTAGAAGTCGGCATACTGTATTTTTTCATACCAACTGTTTTTCTTTTTTTTGCCTAGTTAACGTCTTTCAAGGGGAAGTTTTTGTTCAGTTATCTACTCTTCCAATATTAGGTTTAAGAACTAGCATTCTTTTATCTCCTTTTCTTAAACACATTGCTTCTGTGAATTCAGCTCTTTTAATCCAGACTGCTATTGTGTCTGCTGGTCTTTCTAATCCTCTAACCTGGCTGCTATTCTCTCTCCTCCCCTCTGTCTTATAGAGAGGTCTGAAGAATGTGTTTGATGAGGCTATCCTAGCTGCCCTCGAGCCTCCGGAAACTCAGCCCAAAAGGAAGTGCTGTATATTCTAAACTTTCTCCTCCCCTCTTTGCTGCTGCTTCCTGTCCCACTACTGTAGAAAGATCATTTAAAAACAAAGGAATAAAACCATCCTGTTTGAAAGCCTCTGCGTCTTTTTACTCACCACCTTAGAGCAACTTCTGTATTTGTTTTTGATAAAGAATGCAACATCTTAGAATACTTTTTGTCATCAGTAGTCAAGTTAGAGTTGTTTAACTTTCTGCTGCTTGAGTTGCCTGATGCTCAGCTTTTTGGTTTGAATTGTTGCAAAAGGGAATGTGGTCTGGCATTAAGAATGATGTCCTCTTGGAGAAAATAAGGGCTTAACCCTTCTAGATCTTAGTTCTAGATGGAGAAAGTTATTGCTGAACATCATTTTACTCCTACAAATTGTTAATTGTAATTGCATGACAAACTATGAAGCAGGTTGACTTGCTAATAGAGTGTAATGGGGAAGGGAGGATTCCTTTATGGTTTTCCTTTGTGCAGTGAAACTTTGTGTTGCTATTGCTTTGGCTGTTTGTGCTGTAGGTGGAGTATTGGTCATTCTTGGGTGGGGAAGATAATTCATGTATCTGCTACTGCATTATAAGTTCATTTGTTATACATTATCTCTTAAGACTAGCATCCATTTTAAGAGTTGACATAAGGTTTGCTAATGTTGAAATGTAAAACTGCCACCTTTATATTTTCCTGCTTCTGATTTTATTGTTGTGAGGGAAACATAATTGTGGTTACCTTAAAATTTTGAAATTAAAAATATACAGTTGTTATACACATGCCTGACGAAGCTTTATTCTGCTGCACTGACTGGCTTTAACTTCACTTTTGTATCAGCTACACACTTTCTTGCTTCCTTGAATCCCCTTGACTGTCTTATTAGTGGGTTAAAGGGAGTTCAAAGTGAATATTTCTGCAGCTGCCATACCAGCGCTCTCTTTGCCTGTGCCTTCCATGTAACATGGATGCCATGGGCCGTCCTCTGTCCCGTTTTGCATCCCACAGTTCCATTTGAATGCAGAGCTGCTTCCCTTGTTTCTATGTAAATGTTTCAACAACACATACAAAATCATACCAAATGACATGTGCGTGTTTGCTTCTCATGACATACATTGGTCTGCAAAAGGCTGTTTCAAAGAACCACTGTCTCTCTCATCAATACCTGCTCTCTCCTGTACCCTGTTGAGACAAAACTCAGTGAAGCAAGAGTATTTGGTGGAGTTTCAGGGTTATTAATGTTTCCTTCTTTGCCCACTCTTTTGGGGTTGACTGTTTTAAACTTGAACTCCAGCTCTGTTATATTGAAAAATCAGATTGCCCATTTCTTCTTTCTACCCCTTTTCAGAAAGGCCTAAAGAATGTGTTTGATGAAGCAATATTGGCTGCCCTGGAGCCTCCGGAACCGAAGAAGAGCCGCAGGTGTGTGCTGCTATGAGCGCCCTCCAGAGCCTTCTCTGCAAGCTGGTGTTGTCATCATGCTAAAAGCAATGTTTAAATCAAACTAAGATTAAAAATTAAAATTTGTTTCTGCAATAATGACAAACGCCCTGCACCTACCCACATGCTCTCGTGTGAGACAAGGCCTGTTGGTACGGGCCCTGCCCTCCCAGTACTAGTTACTTTTGAATAATTGTGTATTGTCTGAAAAGTGATGAGTACTAGTTTTTGTTTTGTTTCCAAAAAAAAAAAGAAAAAAAAATGTTTTTGTTTTGTTTCGTTTAAAAGCAAGGCATGCTTGTGACGACTCTGTAACAGACTAATTCCAGTTGTTAAAGCTGCTCCCTGGTTCCATTTTAGAGAGTATCTGGGACATCCTAGTGGTCCCCCCCCTTCTCTCCTTTTTTTGTGAGAGAGAAGTGTGTGTGTGTGGGGGTTGTATTTTAGTCTTGTTTTTTAAATTCATTAACCAGTGGACAGCTCTTAGGGGAAGAGGACAGATTATTTCCACATTCCACTTCCTAGGTCTAGTTTAGAAAATGTTCCCCACCTGGTGCTCTTAGGAAGGAGTATAGACATGCCTCATTTAATAACATACTCCTTTTTGAAAGTTGCCTTTTCTCTCCACCTTGAGTGGATCCAGTCTTTGATGAAACCCATGAAGGTGGGTGGAAGCTGTCCCCCTCCTCTTTCTAGGATGCACTCTGTATGTGACTGTGACTTTCAAGGATATTTGTTTGCCATTTGTTGATTTTTTTTTTTTTTTTTTGGTTTGGTTTTTTTTGGAGGGAGGGTATAATTTCTAACAACTTTTACTGATAAAAAAAAAAGTATTGCACCTTTTAAAAAAATACACCAAATGGATTGTGTTCCTAATTTAAAAAAGTTTTATTTTGCCCCTGTCAGTCATTTTCTTATATGCTTAGGATAGATTTGCAGTACACTGTGTGGTGTTTCTAGAGCCCAGCAGAAGACCTGGCACATAGGTTCCTTTGAGGGTGGTACTAGAAGACAGACTCCTTTGGATTGCCATGCTCTTTTGGTGACGAGGTTACAGGCCTGCTTCGTTAAGAAGCTAGAGGCTTGTGAAGGTGGGGAATACCACATGGGCAGCAGGCAGGGCTAGCCCCCTTTTCCTGCCATGTATCCCTTGAGCACCTGGCTGAAGCTCTTGTTTAATAAAAATCATGTCAAGAATCTTAGACTCTTTATAAGTGTTACTAGGGATTTTACCAGATTCTTTGTTTGTGGGTTCCAGTTTTTAAAAATGTTTGGGTAATCTCCACCTTCTCCAAGTCCTAATTCTTGTAGATTCATTAGTGTCGACCCAATGCTTTCTCATGTCTCAGTTCTTTGTATATGCATTCTTTTCAGATGTATTAAACAAACAAAACCCTTCACAAGCCAGCCTGAAGGTTGTTATTTTCCCTCCGCCTCTTACTTTTTGGGTATTTAGAATTGGGAACGTGACTCTTATATAACATCAACTGCTAACAAAATTTTGGCATTAGATTTTAAAACTTTATTCTTTTTATTTGTTTTCTAGCTTGAGGTGTTTCTGTATGTTCAGGTTTGTCCCTGTTCTCCTAAGATTTCCAGTAGCTCAGAAACTCTTCCCTTGTTTACTGAGTAGGTGAGAATAGTTCTTAGTGTAGAAAAGTTTGTGAAGATGTCATCTCAGGATGTTGGGAGGAAATGTTAGCATACTTCTGTAGATAGTTGGAAAGCGGACAGGGTCTCCCAACCTGCCAGCATTGGTGGTTCTCAAATCTGATAACGTACAAGAGTGCAGCTGGAGCAATGGAATTTAAAATTAGTTAAGTTAGTTCTCCAGGTGTTTCTAAAATGCAGCCAAGTTTGAGAACCATTGATCCTAGGTGGTTGTCCCAAACTTCAGCTCTCATATTAGAAATTTTGTTCTGTTACTCTGGTTCATTTTCTTTAGGTATAGCTCTGTGTGTGTGTAGATTTTATATACACACACACACACACACATATGGTTCATTTTCTTTTCTTTTTTTTTTTTTTTTTTTTTTTGGTCTTTTTGAGACAGGGTCTCCCTGTAGCCCCAGCTGTCCTGGACCTCACTATGTAGACCAAGCTGGCCTTGACCTCACAGAGATCCGCCTGCCTCTGCCTCCCGAGTGCTGGGATTAAAGGTGTGTGCCACCATGCCCAGCTTTTTTTTTTATATATTTTATTTATTTTTATTTTATGTGTATGAGTGTATTACCTGCATGTATGTGAATGCACCTGTGTCGTGCAATGCCTTGGAAATCAGAAGAGGGCTTCAGATTCCCCTGGAACTGGAGTTAAGGACAGTTTGTAGTTGCCCTGTGGTTCCTGGGAATTGAACCCAGGTCCTTTGCAAGAGCAGTCAGTGCGCTTAACTGCTGAGCCATCTCTCCATCCCCTGGTTCATTTTCTTTAGGTGTAGATAATATATGTGTATAAATGTGTGTGTGTGTGTGTATCCACACCTATATATATAGGTGTGGTACACACATATATTAGGTGTAGCTAATACCACCACTATATACCTACACACACCTTAAGGGCACTATACCAGTTTGTATGAGAAGCTTAACGTATTAATCCAGTTCAGGCTGATGCAGTGTAGTCTCAATTCTATAGGGACTCAAGTTTGCCATGATTCCATAATATGCTAGAACTAAGCAGGGCTGGAAGAAAAGGGATTGGAAAGAGACAGGGGCTTCACTAGTTATTTTGTTTTTAAAGACAAGGTCTCACTATGTAGATCCAGCTGGCCTTGAACTCACAGAGATCCAACTGCCTTTGCCTCCTGAGTGCTAGAATTAAAGGTGTACAGCAGCATGCCTGACTACTAGTTCTTGTTGTTTTTTCTTTCTCATTTTTATTTTGTGTGTTTGCATATAAGCATTCTGCAGCACACAAGTAGAGGTCAGAGACAACCTATAGGAGTCAGTTCTCTCCTATGGAACTCAGGTCATCAGGCTTGGTGACAAGTGTCTTTACCTACTGAGCCATCTCACTGGCCCCAGTATACCTTGTTTTTGACCATTCTAGGGAGAGGTACTTGAGTCATGCCATGATATCCTGGGGAACAGAGACATATATATCCCAACATCTTAGCACAGTGGTATGTGGGTCCTACATTATTGCTCTGTCCCTGTCTTAGAGCAGTGCTCAAGGTTTGGCTCTAAAAATAGTCATTGGATAGGCACATGATTTTAAGAATGAGGAAGTCAAAGCAAGTCATATGATTGTGCTAACACATTATATACACATTAGAAAAACAAGGCTGACAGGTGATTGACTAATCTTTTCTGTTTGAATATGTTTCACTTGGACTACCGAATGTTAGAAGAACATGAGTAGCAAATGGATGAAAGTAACATGACTTTCTATTTAAGCATTGTTTTCTTTGACTCAGTGAACTTGTTTATAGTCTTGGCTTGGTAGGTGAATGATATGCTCAATGAGTGTAAATGGCTTAGATTCATGGGGTGTTCAGCCTTTTGACATTGCAGTATGACTTCATCATCTACAAATGTGTTGAGTTGGATTCATAGCTATCCCAGGATACATAATACCACACTTAGTTTGTAGCAGAATTTACTATATTTAGTCTGATACAGCATTAATACAGCATTGGTGTTCTAAAACATGTTTTACTGGGACTGGAGATGAAGCTCAGTTAATAGAGTGCTTGTTCAACTCAACATGCATTAAGTCCTGTTTTCCATCCTCAGCACCAGAGGTGGAGGTAAGAGGATGAGATAGTCAAAGTCATCTTCACTTGCATAGTGAGTTCTAGGCTAGCCTGGTTACATGAGATGCTGTCTCAAAACAAAAACAAAACTCAGTATACAGTAGCCCTACTCAAGAAGGATTGAGAACCAAGAATGGTGGTCTGTGCCCGTCATCCCACCACTTGGGAGGTAGAGGCAGGAAGATCAGAAGTTCAGGATCATCTCTGGCTACATAGCAAGTTTGAGGCCAGCCTGAACTACATGAGACTTTGCCTCACTCCTCCCAATCCGCCCCCTCCCCCAGCACGCCCCAAAATAAAAAGATTGAAACTTTGTTCCTTCTTGGCTATAGCTTTTCCATATTTGTTGGAAGTCTGTTAACGTAACTGGAAAGGGTAGCATCTCACTTGGAAATAGCAATTCTGCTAACTCTCAGATATGACTGATTAGACTGAGATAGATGACACGAGGAAAAGACTCAGTCACACACTTGCTTTCTCTGTTTTACCCAGTGCTCACCCAACTTCAGAGCCTAGTGACTTAATTACATAGAAAAATTGGAGGTGTCACTAAACAGGTTCTTTTTTTCCATGGCTGTTTAAAAACTTAAATGTTTGAGTTTTTGCAGAGTTCTCTCACTTTTATTTTTCTTTAAAGCTTCATTTTAGTAGCCATGGCCACAGTATTGCTGTGCTATAAATACCATGAGGATGATAGATGACTATGGTGTTTATTTCCTCACTGCTGGGTCATTCCAAATGCCTTCTGCTTTAGACTGCTCAGCTTGTCTCCTTATTTCTCATTCTAGAGCCTAGCTCTAGAGAGCAGTGATTACTCAAGAGTGGACTTGTCAAGTGTAGGCCACTGGGTTGAGGGTGTGGGAGACAAGGTAAGATATATTGAAATTTTCTCGTTGTGTTGCTTGGAGGATGCCAAAAAGCAAAGGTAGCTGAAAGTGCCTTCACTCTTAACAGTCATGTGACGAGTTTAATAAATGATAGTTTTAAAACAGTTCATTAAATAATGCAGAGAATCAAGTAGCTGACTCCTCCTTTCTAGTTGGAATCTTTTCCTGAATAACCATGTGCTCTCATCCTGCTCTGATCTGCTCCTGAGTTGAAGGGTTGCCTGTGTGTGTGAATATTATAACACATTCATTTCCCATTATTTATTATGCTCCATGTCAGGTACTGGAGACATTGGAGAATGGTGGTTTCAAGCAGTGCATGTGTCAGCAGGCAGAGAGAGTAAGGAGTTCCACCTAAATATCCCATAGGATGCTTTATCCACTGTGTTCCCTGTGCATTGCTGCTGTGCCCATAATCAGCTGGACCTCCCGATTGTAAGGTGGGCCAGCCACTGTCAGCCCTCACTGGACTTTGTGAAAATTAGAAAAATACTGAATGACATTTAATGTATGACAGTATACTAGTAATCTGATTTTCTTTGTAAAGCACAAAGTATTTGGCTGCTATTTGTTAGATTTGTCACAAAAATACACAGATCTATTATGCAGTGCTAATACTACTTTTAATGTGATGTTTAACTTGCAATTTATATTCACTGTTGTGTCTGGGTGGTTGTTACCCTTCCTTGTCCACTTAGGTGTGGAGTTCAAAACAGGCTAAGAAGGACAACTGAGTGGGGGAACAATTCTGTAGTCTCTGTATTTTTTAATCACAGAATTAAGGCTGGTTCAGGTGATCCCTTCATTTTGTGTGTGCTGAGGAAAGTGAAGACATTTAGATGATTTTGACTGCATGGCTGTGTGGTGGTAAAACTGGGCTCACGCTTCTGACTTCACGGTGCTTCCCTACTGCCTTACTAGCCAGGAGTTTGCTTCACAGGCCTCTCCTTGTCTCTTCAGTGCTGAGCACTGTCTTCCAGCTCTGCTTTCTTTTCCTAGAATCTTTCCATACTGTCATGCTGCCCTCAGGTGGTTTGGACGTTAGAGCTAGCTATTGATGGAATTGTTAAGCTTCTGTGCATGCCTGGTAAAGGTATATGCAGTGACCCATTAGAGTCCTAATGTAGAAAAATGAAATAATATCTAATAAAGGAGTGTAGTGAGGTATTTAAAATAACTTTGCAGATTGGGGTGCTGGAGAGATGACTCAAGGTTAAGAGTACTGACTCCTTTTGCAGAGGACCTGGGTTTGGGTCCCACACCCACATGGAGGCTAACAGCTGTCTGAAACACAAATTCCAGGGGATCCAATGTCCTCTTCTGCCTTCCATGGGCACTGCATGCATTGGTGCACTTTCACATGCAGGCAAAACACACATAAAAATAAACTTTAAAAAAAGATTAATGAGGCCTGGATGTAAGGAGACCCTGAGGTAAGTGTGCTGTCTTGGTTGTAGATGAACTTTGGTTCATCATTGCATTCTTTTTCTGAGGTAGAAGGGACAGATTTTCAAGATAAAGGTGAGCATAGTACTGTCTTAGCCACTGAAAATACAGAGTACAGGGTTAGAAGCAGCTCTGCTGCTCTGAGGCATCCTGTGGAGTTGTGCTTTATGCTGTGGACACCTTACCACAATTTCTGGACTCTATAGGAATCACTGAACCTCAAGTCTCTGGGGGCAGAGACCAGGAGCCATCAGGGCCAACAAACATCCCTTCAGTGTGATGAAGGTTGTGCTGCTGCTCCTAATTAGGTACTCTT